TTCTCCCCCCAGTTCTGAGAGGAAGATGACCCGCCTGCTGGTTCTGGTGCTGGCTTGTGGAGCTCTGCTTATCTCCACAGAGGCCCAGCAAGGCTACCACAGTCTCCCTGATCTCTACAAGGAGGCCATTAAACACGCAGTCAAAAAAGCTCATCAAAGTACCCGTCAGCACATGAATTTCAATGCCACCCAGGGCCATCCAAAGGTAACTGCTGAGAAAATGTTTACAAAAGTGTGAAACTTTAATCTGCAAGCTGAACTAAGGAGTATCACATTGATTTTGGTGTTTTCATTTCAATGCATATGATGCTTAATGTCACTTCACAACGAATGTGATGGTTTTATATCTCAGTTCTGTTCAATTTCACCTTCTCATACTTTCCTTCTGAATCTGCTGCATTCAAGTCTGTGACAGTCTGGCATTTTTTGGTGATTATTGTTTGTTATATTGACTTTAAAACAGTTGTAGGCAATTTGGTATATAATATGTTTATGTGATTTAGATCAGCAGTGAATATATTGACATTGAGATCCTCTTGAGAGCAACAGAATGTGTAAAGTCAGCTGTACCAGATCATCGGGATGACTGCATGTTTATGACCAACAGGGTAAGTAATGAGTCACTGGACTGTGAACAGTGGACATCAATTAACACATTCATTTTGGTTCATTTTTCGATGCCCTGTAGGAAATAGTTGGCCAGCAACAAAAAAACAAATAAATAAATAGGTGGCCTCAAACATCCAGTTCCTTCATGTCATTCTCAAATTTTAGTAGAGCAAAGGCAAAACGCTGGATTACCAGACAGAAGCAAACACTAATCTGAGGGGTGACCTGTAGAGTATGCCTCGAGCTATGAACCATTGCTGGCCTTATTTAAAGACCTGTGGGCTGTACTACACAGCGGGTTTTTCATACCTAGAGTTAACTCAAAAGAGCCGGGTTAACCAACTCTGATTACTGAAATCAGCATTAAATGGCAGTGTGGTGTTTTGTGGTAAAAGGGCAGGACATAACTCTGGTTTTAATCAGAAAGCCAGAAATTAAATCTGATCAGAGCAGGTTAGGTGTGCAGTGTGAATTACCCTTTAAATTTGCCTCGTTTAAATAATGAGCTACAATTCACAGTACCTAAAACTCGGTAAACCTCAAGAATCCTGGCTAATCCAGTAAACACGCTCCGTAGTACACCCCTCAGCAGTGTAATCACGGTCACTTAGCTTGATCGGAGGGCAGTATTTTAATACAGAGCAGTGTTCAGTTAAATGGGATTTGTTGTTAATACTTTGAGTTGTACTTGCTTTGTATGATATAGCCTTATGGTGTCCCTGCTTTGGAAGCTCTTTCCCCTAAAATTGTTTTGTTTGATTAAACCCTGCAGTCCAGCAGCTTTGCCCTAAATCTTTAGATATATCTTTACTACACATTCTCTCATTGCTTTTATTGCCCACCACTCTTTCAATATTGTTCTTATGTGTCTGTGTGTTTTTACAGCCATTTATTAACTGTAGAGTTTGCAGCAAATGGTCTGGTAATGATCTTACGGATCCATCAATTGACTGTGCACCACAAAAGAGAGTGGATAAAGTAAGTGTAAATTACATTTGAGAATCTTAGCATTATGGAAATGTTACGAGTGTGTTAATTGTGTCTAAATATAGTGTTAAACTTTGAGCGTTTTTGTACATGTTAAAATTTGATCAGTGTACTGTTTAGTAATGATGATAGTTATGTTTAATGTGAATAAATGACTACAATCAATGTATCACACTCTGATTAAAGTACTTAACTTTTCATCCCAATTTTGCATTTAAGGACAAAAGACAGAAAATGTGTCCACGAATCATTGGAGCATATTGCATAAATTGCAGTATGAGTTAAAAGGCAGAGATTGACTGTCCGGGCTGTTACTGATAGCTGATGGTCCCAGTGTCCCAAGAGGAGGAAACTGGAATGGAAAATGCTTCGATATATTATATGCCTGAAATCAGGATGTAATACAACATTTTAAGTTTTCAGATTCAATTCCAGTTAAGCAGATGAACTACTTAACATCATTTCAACTCCATCCTGAATCGGTCACGGACTGCAGTGTCCGTGATTCAGACTTAATTGTAATTAGAAACAAGACCGAGTTTTTTTCATCACAGTGGTAAACTTTCTAATTTCTATTACTTCTCTCAAAATAATGACACACATCAATAAAACACAATTCATAAAATAAAAATAAAATTCACCTATTATTCTCCTTCATTGTATTAGCTGTATACTGATTTATTTTCTTCTGAAATGACGGTCACAGAGCGCGCCGCTACATTGGTTTTATGCCGTTTATATGAGTTCTTTGGTTCGCCTTATTACATTATCAGCTTTACATGGATCAAGTTCCGCTTATAGAAAAAAACAGCACACATACTCAGATATACCACAAATCATTTCTCTTTATTTGTTTTTCATCCTGAGGACGGGATGTGTGCAGGTTTAAGCACAATGGCACTTAATAATTACAGTGTGTGCTAGTCCAGTGCACCTCCACCTTGATCGCGTAGCCAGATTCATGGTGCAGAGGGAGACCAAACGCCTGTGACTTGCTGAAAACCTCCATCCTGGTTTTCCATTGGAATTGGGGCGTCTCCCTCGGGGACGGGCTTTCCACCAAGGAGACCCTGCAGGGGCTGGAGACATATTCGGCAAAACACAAAACATCGCATGTAAGGCAGCCCGGATCTTAACTGCACAGTACTGTAATTCGAAAAGCGTTTTAAATAGCTATACTGTATTTCAAGACTCAGTAAAAGACTTAATACTCAATAAAATTCAGTAAATAGTGATGGTGTCTCTTCTATTACCTTATATTCATGTAATGAATATACAAATATCAATTAGTTGGAAATCTGCCTGAAAATCAGTAATAATGATCAATTCACCCAGACAGACTAATTACTACAAGTGGTTTCCACTGTATTT